GCGCAGCGCCGGTCATCTTTAATTAATTATCCGCCGCTAATCCGTTCCGGCGTTTTGATTAACGCCCGGCGGCCGCTGATTATTTCACGGGATGACCTCTTTCCGGCTGTCCGCGTTCGACGTGAATTTCGAGCTGCTTCCTACGAATTCCCCGGCGAAACGAGACACCGCCGTATTTCGGGAACGCGTAGCGCCAAATCGTTAATCGAATCAATGCCGTTCCAATAAAATCCAATAAAACGCCCCGCCCGCGTCGTCGACTCTCGCCGCGCGGATTTCCAAGTTCTCGCCGGCAATGCGAAGCTTTTTATCGGTCTTAACCCGACCCTCTCTCCAATCTCGAGAGTGGCAATAGTTATGAGCTCGGTTCCCGATTATCGGGTCGGGTGCCAATAATTAATTGCAGAATCACCGATTATTAGAGCCCCGCGCGCCCCTGCGGCATTCCCGAGACAGCTGGGGAGAAAAGTTTCCTTCCGCTCTCCGGCTCGTCCATCCGCAGGATTGAATATAAACTTTCGGCACGACCTCGGCCGGATCGACGTCGATCTGTGTGTCGAGAGAATCGTGGGTGCGATAAACCCTAAACTCTTGCGACGAATCTCGCAAAAGTTTCCGCAAAAGCGGAGGAAATATTCAGAAAATAACGTCGCGACGTTTCGCTGCTCTGATTCTCGATCTACAATCGGCCACGAAGGATCACGGGTTAAGCTCCGAGGGAAGAATCGCGGTAGATTTCGTTTACCGGATCGTGTAACGAGTAAATCCGGAGTTTTCGGGTGAAGCGACGCGATTACGTTCGCGTGCCTTCATAATACGCGAAACAATGCGCAGGCAGACCGGCGGAGAGAACGCACGTTGGCTCGCAAAATTAGAACGACACGAAGAGAGCATCGTTTCGTGTTCGCCTCAGAGAAATCCGCCCTCTCCCCCCCCCCCCCCAGAGAAGGATTACTTCGTCCCTGATATTACATTCCTCTCGCTCATCGGCGAGTCGTCGATTCGCTTAATCAATCACGGTCACGCGGGATTACGCTCGCGAGGCGCGAGTGCGCGCTCGAACGTGGTGTTTCCGCTCCGTCGCTCTTTCGCGCGCGCGCGCTCATAAAAATGAGCGCTGTCTCGTTTAATCCTATCGCAGCGGCGCACTTCCTTGGCGGCGCAGCTCGTCCGTGCCGATAAACTGCGCGAATTCGCAATCTGCGAAACTGGGAAACGAGTGGCCGGACTTCTGATTTATCGTCAGCTCTCTCTCTCTCTCTCTCTCTCTCTCGGCCGCTCTCGCGCAACTGCGTATCGCGCCCGCCGCGGTTGATGCATCGCGCTCGCGTATGAGCGAAGTGCTATTGCAAAGTGACTCACAATCAGGCGGAAATTCAGTTCCGCGATACGCAGTGCGAGTGAATCGAACTCGGCCCTCTGTCCGCCGCCAATTTTTCCGCGCGCGTCCACGATACGCGAGTTTGCATATTGCGCGCGTCGTCATGATCGTTGCCGCTTCGCGCCGACTTTGCGCGGACTTTGCAGCGCGCAGCGCGCGCCGCGAGCCGCGAGTCCCGCCGATTGTCGCGCTTCATTGGTATCGTTTCTGTCGCATCGCGAAGTAATCCGGCGCGCACTTGCGCGCAAATAGTCGGCTTAGCAAACAGCGACGCAACGTGCAGATATACAATTTATACGCCGGCGCTGCCCGCTCCGGCGCGGCGAATTAATTCCACATTCTCGTCGGAGATTTACTCCGACGTATATGAGGAAGCTGCACGGAGTCGTAACTTTACAGTATTTACAGTGTGTTTACGACCGCATAAATAATAATAAAGGATTTCGCGCGGGGCCACGTCGAGTGTGCTATTACGGTTTCGCGTTTGCGCGCGCGTTCGCACTTTTGTATTATGATATTATTAAACGGCGATAAAAACGCACTTCTTCCCCCAGTGCCGAAATGAAATCACGAAGCGCTCTTACGAAATGAGTCGCGTTCTCTGCGTCAACGACCTTCTGCAATGCGGTATTGCACCCGCCTGGTATACAAGTTTCCCGGATTTCCCCGGATACAACATGGATTCCGGAAATTGGAATTTCCAAAACTTCTCCGCCAATATTGATTTCTCGATCGCAACACCAATCAGCCACCCCATTCTTATCCCAAACATGTATGTCCTTTGTGTTTGATAGAATCGAAACGGAAATACTGTGGAAAGTATGGCGCTTCCTTTTCCAGCCGGTACTCGCAGGAGTGTGATGTTTAAAAAGTGCAACGTAGGGAATAAATTCCACTTGCTCTGCCTAATGATTTCTCAAAAAGAAAGAAAAAGAAAAAAATTCTTTCTACGTAATGTGATCTAAACAGAGAGAGAGTCTTATGTTTAAAACAAAAATACAATATATACATTATTTTACTCAAAATATTTCTAATTTATTTCAGAAAGTGCCTGAGAGCGAAATAATAGAAATAGTCATTTGTTCTGCTTAATGATTACCCCAAAAAATTTTTCTTTCTGTGCGATGGGATCTAAAAGCTTCATGTGTCTAAAACTTATTATATTTAATATATACATTACTTCACCCAAAGTATTTCTAATTTATTTCAGAAAGTGCTCGGGAGCGAAACGCTCGAAACAGTCGAGGCGCTGAGAAGCCTCTCAAGTATTGATTTATATTTGCAAAATGTCCGCGACTGTTCAAAGCGTTTCACGCACGCATTTCGTCGAGCAATAATTCTCGAAAAAACGCAACGTACTAGTGGGAGGGAGAGGAGGAGGGAGGGGAGGATTAGAATGAGCGCGCGCGAAAACCAGATGAAATGACATTATTACTTCACACTCGGGCAGCATCCGAGGTAAGGCGCGGGGGGAGGGAGGGGGTTCTCCTGATCCTCTTCCATTATATGTGTGTGCCAGTCCGCGATATTCACTTCCATATCGCCGCGCGCGCGCGCGCATGCGATATTTACGTCGATATACGCTCGTAAAAATCGGGCGATGCACTTCGCTTAGTTACGCGCGGACGGCGTTTCCTTCGGGCGCGGCGTAAACCGCGTAAATCCGCAATCTACGAGGCCGCGAGTCGCCTAAGTTCTGATTTATAGTCGCACGGGGCGCGTTTCGCGCGGATAGACACGGGGACAGATAGCGAAGGGCGCACACGCGCGTGCAGCAGCTCGCCCGGGGAAAAATGCGACGACGCCGGCGACGCCGCGCGCGCGCGCGCCGTCCTCGGCTGGCACGGCGCTTCCTCGCAATAACCTCCGAAGGGAAATTCACGATAATAGAGACTACCACGTGAATTTCGCATTCAAGTGTCCCCGCGATTCTCCCCGGTCTTCGTTTTCCCGGAGCAGCTCCGCTGCCGCTACTCCTCCGCGGGTTCTCATCCTTCTCCGTGTCGCGCTTCCAGCCTTCGTACTTCCAGCCGGCACGTTCTCGTACACTTTTCATTTCCTCGCCGAAGTCTTCATAATTTTTCTACCTTCATCTTGTCGCATTTCCCAACTTCTCTCGTCGTTATTTCCCCGTCGCCGACCGGCCGGCCCCGGCCGGCCGTCGAGTGCTCGCGCTCGCTCACGAGAGACTCGAAAGCGCAAACTTGCACACTTAGGCGGAGCGCTTCGCGAAAGGCTGCGAGGACTACGTCTGAAAAGGATGGCCCATGCCACAAAGGCATCCGATCTTTCTTTGGCTCGACTCCTATCGGAGAAAGCTAGACGAAGCTGGCGTGACTGAGGCCAGCGGAAGGCGAGTGTAGAACTGTCCTTTATATGCCTTGTCTTGAAACCTCTCATAAAAAGTCTACGTACATAAGTCTACGGTCGAAACACAATCTCTGTGCTCTGTGCTAAAGAGGCGAGAAAAAAAATCGATGGTTTGAGAGACCGGGAGAAAAAAGAGTTGGGGAGAAGCTATTCTCTCTCTCTCTTTCTCTCTCTCTCTCTCTCTCTCTCTCTCGTCTTGTTCCTCTCGCGCTATCGATTGTGCTTCAAATAGTAGTGTGCTTCGCTTATTCTCTCCTCCTCGTATCTCTAATTCCGCACTCATTCCCTCGATCTTCAAGAGAAGAGCGAAGAAAAAAGCGAAATGGAACGTGCGACGAAGGTTAAGCGGGGAAAAGGAGGGAGGAAACGCGAGGAATCTCCGTTTATACATCTCCGCTTTGCCCCGCAAGTTTCTTCCTTTCTCTCAAACTCTACTTCTTCTTCGTCACCGTCGTTCTACCTGTGAACCGCAATTTCTCTCCTTCCGCGATTCGTTCGTTCCTCGTCCTCCTCGGACGCGTTTTCCCTCCTGCCGCCGTCTCTCGCCCCGGAGTACACGCGGTCTTCCGTCTTTTCCAACCCGCTCTTTCGCCCCCCTCCCCCCCCCCGCCGTCCCACCATCCTCCCTGCCGCTTCCGCTCCTTTTCATCCTTGCCGTGGCGACCGAGGGGCTGAGCTAGACAAATAGCTCCAGCGTGAAATACCGCCGCCTCTTTAAAACTTTAAAGTGTTTCGAGTAATCCTAAGGCACGACTTTACATCATGGTTGTACCCCGCGGAGGATACACGCAGCAGCGCAGGAGGAAATGGAATATCGGTGCGCGCCCGTGGAGGACTTCCGGCTACGCCCGTGGCACATCCGACGACAGCGAGATTTCCCGGAAGAACGCGCGAAACGCGTGAGTGTGCGCTGTTGTTATATCGTTATGTAACGCGAAATGTCCGACACGCTTCTATTTCACTTTCCGTTGTCTTACAATGCCGGTGCTCTGACCCGTTCTACCCCGCCCGACATCGTCATTTCGGGGTGTCGTTTGCCATCGTCCAACGATGCCGTCGAAAACTCGGCGATTTTCACAACGCGCGAGGAAGAATCCGACAATCGACGATTAATCGTGTCGATTATCGACGGACAATCTTTCCCAGCCGCGCGTTATATTCTCATACACGTAATTATTCTTACAGACGCAGTTGCTGTTGCTTCCTCGTCGCGATAGACCAATAGAAGCGGTGAAAGGCCGAGACTAACCTTCCTCAACGACCAAGGTGACAGTGGCTGATCGACCCTCCGTCGGCCTGCATGAGTAGTTCCCGACGTCATCCTGCGTCACCGCCGCCAAAGTCAACACAGACACCGTACGTGCCGCACCCCTTTCGGTCTCCACGTTGATCCCTCCGCGCGCTGCCTGGATCAAGAGTAAGCGAGTGAACTCGGCGATGAGGTGAGTAAGAGGAAATTTTATATATCCGAGAGAGACGGCGGGGAGGCAAATCTCGCTCTTTTCTCCCAAGACCAATTTACGACCGCGTTTCCCCGATGCAGCCAGCGAGCCAGCGAGAGAGAACGATACACACAATAAGGAGACACGCGTGGAATCGATGAACCGTCTCGTAGCTCGGGTTATTCTGTGCGTTCATGCCCGTATTATCAACACTCCGCCGTGTTACGAGCGTGTCTGTTCCGCGTCACGGCATCGAGGAGTGACAAAAGTGCTGAGGAGCACCTTCTCAAGTGGATTTTCCCTCAGCTGACTTGAAACTGCGGAAAATAAATGGTGTCTTGTCCGTCGGGACACAGCTAAAGTTTCAAAAAAATATTTTCGAATCGCGAGCCTCCCGCTGGAGGGTTTCCCCGGCGTGTCCGTTTTTCGAAATTTTCTTATAAGATAAGAGCGTACGCATTTTTTACATTCAGATTCGAAGAAGAAAAAGCGAGACGGAAAAACAAGGCTGCTTCGTGCTTGCGGTTTCCTTGAAATTTTGGGAAATTTTCAAGTTACAGGAAACCTCTTTAAGACTCGCGGAGAGACTGCCAAAAATCCGCCGAGAGAGGGGTCGAAGGGATTCCGGAGAAAGATTTTGGTTGGATGGCTTTTGTTAGGCTGGAGAAAACCCCTGCTGGAGAAAAATCGAACATCCGCGCGTCTCCGGAGATATCGCCTAACGAAAGCGACAAATGACGAGGAGAGGAGCCTCGAGCGGACGGATATCTGTGTTTGGAGAAACACAGCGCGACTCGCGCGCGCGTGTCGAGGCCGACGGGATAAGGCCGCGTGAAGCCGACAAAACCGCGTCTACCCGGCGGAATCGATCAGCAGCCTCGAGCCATCGCCGTGGTCGTTGGCGTATCGCGCGGAAGAAACAGCCGACGCAGAGGCTACCACGCAAACAAAAATGTGGAAGACGCGCTAGGCCGCGGGGAGGGGGAGGGGGAGGGTGATATGACCCATATCTCTCCGTCGCGTCGGGGCCGATGATATACGAGCCCCTTTTTCCCCGTCCTTCCGATTCCTGGTCGTCAAACAGAAATTTCATTAGAGCGCCCCGCGTATCCAGCTGAGGCTGCATTACCTGGAATGTTAGGAGTTTGTTATCCCGAAGCCATTGTACACCCCTGATGGGACGGGTCTGATACGGCGACAATATGACGCATCTCAGGGTGATCGTCGAACCCGCCGGCACCCTTTGCTCCCGGGGACCCATTATGTCCGCCACCGGCGCGGTACTCTCATAACCTGGAAGTCATGTACGGACAAATATCATGCGGTGGCCGAAGCAATTGAATGACCGTGTCGTGACGAGATTACGCGCACATCCCCGGCGCCGGGGGTGGCCGCCCGCGCTGCTGCTGCTGCGCAACCTACTTACCTACCAACCTACCTACCTACCTGCCTACCTACCACCCTCCCCGGCTCGCCGCCGGCCGAGGTCCGGGATTTCCCGGCCGTGTCAGAGCCGAAAAATTCCAGCGAGATCTCTTCCGAGTTCCTCGGACGGGGAGCGCGAATTTTTCGCGCCGACGCGACGCGCGCGACCTTGACGCGGCGTGAAAGAATCATGCTTTTTGTCGTGATTATTATTTTTATCATGTTGCTAAGTTATTACTAGATTGCAGACCCGAAGAACGATTTGATCGGCACGTTTCTCTCAGAGCACTGCCGGACGTGTTTACCCCTTTATATCCTGAATTCATTTACCCGAGGCTTCGTTACATTTTTGTGCAATTAAATTAGGCCTTTAGCATAAGAAATTACAAACATAAGGAATAGGGAAATACATTTTACAACCATTCAATGATTAAATTTTATTTTATCTTGCGAGTTTAACCGACAGGAATGCAGAGTAAGACACGGAGAAAAAGTTCGGAAACATGAGCGGCACTTTGAAGTTCCGTCAGGATATAAAGGGGATTAAAACAGTTGATTAATAAAAGTATTTTTGTACACTGGAATTTACGGCGTACTATCAGCAGCAGCGTGCGAGACCAGAAAAGATAATATCTTTAGCTACTTACGCACTTACACACACACACACACACACACACACACACACACGCACGCACGCACACACGCACGCACGCACGCACGCGCGCACGCACGCGCGCACACATTAGTATAATTCGCAAGGAAACTTCCCCTCGAGTGGCAAACGAGGGCCGCGAGGACGTTACGCGTCGGCGAGCGGCGAACAAACGGCGACGCAGAAGAACGCAAAGGACCTCCTGCAACTTTTTAATTGACAGCGTCATAGAGAGCGTAACGTATCGCGAATACCCACTAATTGACGCAATCCGTCCTCGGTTTTAATATCCCGACCAGCCGGATTAACGCACTAGACCTTCCCCCCGGCGGGAAGAAACGTGGGGCTGGGGGGGAGGAGAGGGCGGGGGCAGAGGTGGGCGCTTTGGCGCTCGCGCGCGCCATCAAGGGCACTCGACGAATGTTATGCAATGATTTTAATTAATGCCAGCGTTATATCCACTTTCATTGCGCCGGCGCTCCGCCGCCGACGCGGCACAAAGTAGAGTACGCTGAAGTGGCAAAAAACGTGTAGTAACACGTAGCTCGCACGTAGATGCACTGTCACAAGCTTGTACATTTTAATTTAGAAAGCAAGGACAAGCACTCGTTTAATGCGCGAGCCATGCACCGGACGCGCGGCCGTTGTGCGCGCGCCGCGCATCGACCTTCACAAAGTGTACCGTAAAATTAGCCCGCCTTGAAAACTCTCTTCGGTTCCCTATTACACATACGATAAATTGCGAGAGAGCCTCCCGTTACAGATCCCTCGCGCGCTCGCTCGACATAACGAAGCTCGACATTCTCCTTTTATGACGCGTCGTATCTGCACACGGCGGCTGCCCTTCGTCTTTACCCGCGGATATTGCGCGGTTCTCACCCTACTGGCGAGCGCGGCGATGCACCCCGAAGATGCGGGGGTTGCAGCGGAGATACGGCGTGCGCGCGGTAACAGCGCGTGATAAAGTCGCAAACGAAGAGTCATGCGCGAGATGCGTCTTGTTTTCATTACGGACGCGAAAAGGAAAAAGGGAGAGATGAAGGATCGCGCGCGCGCGAGGAAACGTATGGAATGCCAGTTGTCGTGTGTAGGAGAGCGGGAGGGAGGGAGGGAGAGCGCAGGACGAGATATTGTCCGAGATTGTGACTCGCCATGTGATGACTTTGATCATGACCGCTCTCGAGGCGGGCGTTCTCGCGGAATAGATTAATAATTCGCCGTCGTGCCTTCAAAGGGCACAAGAAAAGTGGCCGAAAGTGAGAAGCCCCCGGCTTCGCTGTATAAAAATATCGAGACACGTATACATTATTCAGCACGAAGACCGCGGTCGAGACTCATTTAACGGGCCACTCGTATCCCCTTGGAACTCTGAACTCTCGCTGGTCGACGAAGAAAAGGATACGAAGAAGCCGCGGTGGGACCGCGGGATTAAGGATAATCCTATTAGACTTAAATGAATCCGGCGACGACTGCGTTCCCTCTAGCGAAATATTATGTTATGCTGTTATTACTGTAAACTCGCCCGCAGCCGACGTTTCTTTCCCGTGCGCGCGCGCGCGCGGTTCTGCTCCTTTTGTTGCCAGGAAACTTTGTGGATAAATTCTCTCCCGTGATCCGCGCGCGCGCGCGCGAACATTCGTCGAGTTCTTGAGCAATCCTTGAGCGTGGATTCGACGTTCCGCTATGTGCGAATATACCCAAGCGTTAAAATGCGATTTCGGCTTCTGCCGGGCTCTGCCTGATTTTCCATACACGCTCTTCCTGACGCCGCGCCGTCGGTTCGCCGCGAGATTCGATGTTACGGCCGAGTTGGGAAAAGCTCGCAACAGCTGCTAATTGCGAGACGAAAAATCGCGCCTCACTGTCGGAACGAACAAAGCGCAGCGGCACTTAGTCCCGATTTGTGATCCGCGGCTCTGCACACAATCAGCTTCCTCCGGCGATACTTTAAATTTCCAAAATGCCGCTGACGTGTCGCGTGTCGTATTGCGAGCAAAAGCGATCTCGATTAAGATCCGCGCCGAGGACAAAAATTTATCGCGCCATTACGTCGCATTATTATTCGCGCGCACTTCCTTCCTCTCGCCTTTCTCTCTCTCTCTCTCTCTCTCTCTCTCTTTCGTTCTCATTGTCTCCTTCTCTCTCGCTGCCCTTATTTATTCGTTGTGAAACTTCGACAATAAAGTCGGCAGCGATCTGTGTGACCATCTTTAAGTCCCGCATATACCGCGAGCGAGAACGAGAGGAAAGTTAGCGCGAGTGTATATTTATTAGCCGAGTGAAACTGCGTGGAGGGCGTTCTGGGCGGAAGCACGTCGCGATACGAAAATATTCGCAGAGTCGGAACTTGGCCATTAGGTTGATGGAGCTGTGAGGCGGCTGAGGAAATATTTAACTGTGTAATATCGCGGGTAATAATTAAGTTCATCGCGCTGGCGCTGCTCCAGTTCGAACGTGAAAATCAAAGACGCTCGGGGTGAATTTCGAGGAGAGACGGCCGAGAGGAGTCCGCTGTGTGTCAGCGGTGGAAATGGAGATCCAGTGTTTACGTAACCGGGGATGCTCGTGGATGAGGCGAGATACGGCTCCTCGTAATCTGTCGTCCTAACGTAAATAAAAAGCAAGCGCGAATTCAGGAACGTCAAATACGTCAAGGTTGGAGGACGACGTAGCTGAAATAAAACGACGTTCCTTAAAAGAATTATGAAGCGGCTGAAGAAAGTTCGCAAGAAGAATCGACGACGGATCACGAGCGTCAAAGCCAGGGCGATGTCGCACTTATCCTTAAATGATTGATGTCGCCCGGTTACCACGCGGAAAAAAAATAGGAAGTCGCTTCTAATGATTTTTTAAAAGGTGTTTGGTGTACCGGGACGAGACACGTCTTTCTCAATCGTGACAAGAACATATCGCAGTGTATTAGTTTATTTATGAAAGATCTGACACGCGCGGTATGTCGGGGCTAGACTTATCGCTTCCCGCAATTTTCACGCTGATATCCTACGCAGCGACCGTCGTTTCTGTTACAATTATCATATTTCTCGCCTCCGGGCATCCGTTGGACGAGATAAATAAACTCCACGTAATATCGTCGCGATACCGACACTCGCGTGGTCCGGCGGTGGAAGGTGATTAATTTTCCACTTATATAAATGAAATTCACTCCTCGAGCTAATTTGTTTTCCTTCGTCGTCGTGCGAAAAAGAACTGCCGTCTTGAGGCATCGAGAATTCACAGGACGCGAATAAAAAGCGAGAAGAACTAAAGTGAAACACTTCGGGACTCGTACGCGAGCACGCGATATGTAAATACGGCGATAAACTTCCATATAATACACCCGTTGGAGTTTTTATAGATGATTACAACGTGCGAGAGAAACAACGCTGTTTGCAATTCCGGCCGGATGTTCGCTGTCGGCCATCTGTAGCGATAAACGGGCGGCGTTCACAAATTTCGAACGTATGTTGTAATATCGCTCGTAAAGGTTCAACGTGATTTCTCGCCTATAATATCGGTCGTCCCGCAGAGAGGTCGCGTTCGATAATTTCCGATATGGGCAGTTTTAGGTGCTCTTTCGGGTCTCCGACTTACATCCTGAAATAAACCGCGGTCTCCGTAAGAGGAAAAAGCGCGCACAAGATGGATACGTCACACCGTAGGAGATAGAATGCGATGTGAGAGAAATGACGACGATAAATGTACAGCGGCGATACGCTCGGCGACACAAAGTGTCGAACGACACGAGCGATTTGACAACGGCGACTTGGACAACAATGATTTGATAAATTGGCAACCGATAAATCCCGAGGCACTCTCGGAGAGCCTCGATGCGTTCGGCCGGCATTAATCATGTCACATCGCAAAACAGAAGTAATGGCGACAGTGAAAGCTTACATTTGTAATGATTGTATTACAAGAAAACGCGCTTTCCTAGCCTGATAATTATCAGTAAGCTTAGCGCGTTGTAGTCCGCGGCTGATTAATCGAGCTTTTTCCGACTGATGCAATCTTAACGACGATTCAACCAGTGCTTTCGGTTCCGCTACTTTCCGAGCGATAAAACAAAGCGGAAATTGCCGGTCGCCGGCGCGATGAAAGTTATATTTTTAAATCCACCCCTGCCTCTCCACCGCGCAACCGGATCGATCTTTGCACTCGAGGGCATCCCGCGCATTCATGTCGTCGAACATTTTTATCGCAAGATAACGTTCTCGCGCAGGACTCGCACGACGATATCGGCGCGACGGTCGGTGGACTCGAGATGAGAAAGGAGGAAAAAGAAGAAAAAAGAACGGGTCTTATTTCGCGAGCGCGATTCGCGTAAGTTCGGGCGAAGTTTTGATTGCATAATTGTACGCTCGCCCGAGTTTCCGTGTCGATCAAGAAATTCATAAAACAATTTGCATGATATCATTTCGAGCCGCGCGATACAGGCGCCTCATTTTACGCACGCCGTGCACATCCGATTCGGCTAATGCTGATTATGCGGGAAATTAATTATGCAAGTCCGCGCAAAATATTATCGCTGATATCACAGACGTCGTAAAATAAGTTCGGCGTCGGCGAAATTAGAATCACAACAAAATGCAAATGCGCAAACGCGTCCGTATAAATTTTTCATTAATTTCCATTGTCCCATAATACGAGATTCGATGATAATAATAAAAGAAAAATGTCTCTTTCCCTCTCTCTTGTAAAGCGAAATTTCACAAATCCGGCAAATAAATAAATAAAAGGGAGAGTTCATTTTCATGTGAAAATAAAAGTTACGCGTATGCACTTTTATCGTTTCTCTGCAATTCAGCGGGCTTTTATCCGCCCGCTGGAAATCTTCGCCGCCGCTATTGCCGACGCAATATTGTGTTTAGCATTAGCAGAGAGAAGCGCATTCTCGTCGTGTCTTTAAATATACGACCGATTCGATCAGCGTGTGGACTGGAACGTCACGTTTACACGCGCGCGCGCGCGGGGGACAAAAATACACGTCACGTTCGTGATATAACACTTACTTATGCGCGTCTGTTGAGAATGCGGCTCGTCATATCCCTCCGGTTTGTCCGGATCTGAAAATAAAAGAGCTTTTAACGCCGAAGGCAGCCGCGTATCGTCGCGAGGCGAGGTAGGGGGAGGGCACAATTGCGAATTCTAACGCGGGAATAAAAGTGTCGCGCTGGAATACGGCAAATCCGTCCGTGGTTCGCATCGCGCGATCTCAAGGATATCCGGCGGCGAGGAAGATATCTTCCAGCAATCGCGATTGCCCGAAGATAATTCATGTGTAACTAGGGGATGAGTATGAAATCCATACAGCGGAATGATTAATTGTCCGTTCGTCAGCTAGCTGTAGGAGATTGTAACGAGATATCGCCCAAGACAGCTCATTACGACGTACGCGGATATAATTGTGAAGCAGCCGCGAAATGCGTTTCGTGGTATTATTCTGGTGTAATTTCTTTTTATTGCGCTACATTCAATGCCGAATATTATGAAAAATGAGTATCGTTCCGCTGTTTCAGACCCGACCTAAAGATATATGCATTTCGCAGATTTTCAGCGCGTTTCAAAACGCACGCGTTACCGGGAAAGAGGGGGCGCACATTTTATCCTGATTAAAATCGTACTGAAATCTAAATCCGCGTCAAAGATGCGCGATTCGCTGTGAAAAATATCGAACCGCGCGGAAATATCGATTTATCATTGTGAAATAAACTGTAGAGTATATTTCGTTGTAGCGGCGATACGATTCCTTTAAATTCGACGCCGCATATTATGAAAAATGAGTCTCATTTCGTTAGGTTCGCGAGGTCCGATCTGAAAATATGTGTGCATATTTCGCGGATTTGTAGCACGCTTTACACACGTGTAAAATATACGCGGTGTGCGAGAGCCGTGCGCTCTGTACTAATTAAGACTGTATTTAAATCTGAATTTTCCCAGCTGCAGCTGCGTGATCGGCGCGGAAGGCAAAAATGTCGGATTTCGCCTGGCGTGAAGCTCGCAAAATGTAAAGTGGAACGACAATCACCTCGCACCGAGAGCTGCACTGCATACATGATCTTCGGCTCCGTATTGACCTGGCACTCGTACTTGCCAGAATCCGTCTTCCTGGCGTTGTCCAGCCTGAGAGTCCAGGCGTCGCTGCCCGGCGTGTGCTGGGCTCCGAATCGCGCGTCCGAGCTGAACGCAAAATTTCCCGAAGTAAGGATATGCAGGTCCTTGCTCCTCATCCAGGAGACCTGAAGTCAAAAGCGCGAGTTATTGGATTACCGGACGAGGAGTTCCTCGCGAACTCGGATCCATGCGCATCCTCGAGGCTCTCCCATTTTTCCGCGACGGCCGATCTTAATCCGATAGACACCCTTGAGCCGTCCGGACCGACGGATACGCGTGTGTGCGCGCTCGTTTGCACCACGAACGGTTTTCGCGCGTTCCTTCGTCGAGATAACGATCATCTGCAAGGAGAAATCTCTTCTCGATAATTCGCAATCGGCTAACGACGAGTCAGCGCGACAGCTTCGAACGAACGCCCGCGAGTGTGCCGCGAGGCGCGTTTCCGCGTGACGTTTCCTCAATCGAGCGCGAAAATACTCGAAAGCGAAGCGCAGCGCTTAGACGCTACTACCGTGACGCCGGTACAAAGTGCGTAGGTAATTGCACACACGCACACACACTCGCGATAACGTCGGCGAGCGTAAAGCTGTGTCATTTATCAGGCTGGCATCATTTGGCCGATGCGCTCGACCGCGCGCGCGCGCGCGCGAGCGCGTCTTAAAATCCGAGGAGGCCCGCGCGGAACGCGCACCCATCGCGCGTAAATCAAGAGGAGCGAGAGAGGGAGAGGGAGAGAGAGACATCCTCGGGCCGACTTATTCGCCTCCGTTCTCGCGGCGCCTCGCGACCGCGTTACTCGAACACGTAACATGTCGTAATACATAATAATACATTACGACGCGATAATAATAAAGTTAATGGAGCGGAAGGGAGAACATGCGGCACAGAGGATGGTAATGTGACGATGGCTGTAATGGCGCTAATGGATGTTCGATTAGTCGAGCGGCACGCAATTATTATTAATTATCATCGATACCGTACCAGTAATAGGATATTAGCTGCGACGAGTATTCCTGCCTCCTCTCTCACTCTCACCCTCACACATTCTTTCTCTCCCTTTCTCTTCCTCTCCCTTGTTCTTCGACTCTCTCCCTTCCTCGTTTAGAAGCGTTTCCCCATCAAGTCTCAATTAAGATAAAAGCGAATAACGAACGCGCGACGTTCGTTCTTTTACGCAAGGATTGCACGTGTCGCAAAAGGAAGAAGGAAAACGCGGCATTATCGCTATCAGTTTTGCATGTTTGCCGATAAAAATCCCTCTCCCTCAACCCCTCCCGACTCTGGCAATCTGTGAATTATTACGATATAATAAGCTTCGTTTCTTGCGCGCATTCTTTCTGTGACACGACGGTTTTTACAGCCCTGTTTTTGTGTCATTTTTAAACAGGGCAATGCGACCGTGCGCTGAGCGCGCGCAGGACTCAAAGGATGTATCCGTTTTAAGCCAGCCGAGCGCTACGTAATTCTCTCTGATTACCCATTCTCTTTCTCGCATTTTTCCCTCGTTGTATTAACGTGAAAGTCTCGCGCAACTCACTTCGGGCACATTACCGGCATTAATGAATTTCAGAAAGGATCAACCCTCCAAGTCTCATCTATCGACATTCGCGAGCACGTCGCGCGCGTGTATATTCGCGCCGCGTCGGCGCAGCGACTGCCACGATTCAAGCGCAGGATAACCAAAGCATTATAAAAAAATGGCCGGGGGACTTGTGATTTCACGAAGAAAGCACATCCAAATTTACATAACTGCATTTTTTACTTCCTCCAAGGGGGGGAGGAAGGACGCTTGACAAAACACTGAAAGAAACAGGTCGACACACTTTGTAGGTGATTCGATTTCCTATCGCACCAAGACGCCTCTGCTTATCACCGCTCGCGCGATTGTCCAGCGCGTTCGAGACTTCCGTTTCTCCGATTTTTATTATCGGTCCTTTCCCACCCCCTCAAAGTCCAGCGGGACGCCTTCGGTTTTACGAGCGGGATGTTCGCCCAATGACGAGCCGAAATTTTTGCAGCGAGTGCAGCGTCGCGGACGAAAGGTGCAATCCGATGAATATGGTTACCGGACAGTGTGTGCCGCGCGGCTTATCCGATTCTCATATTTTTCGACACTCGGCCGGCCAAACGGTCGGATATTAGATATCCGGTTATCGGCTGGTAGTCATTTCCGGTCTATATCCAGTTACCATTTTCCCATTGGCCATTCCGCGAGATGCCTCGGCGTGTATTAGCTTCGTCGAGGAACGCCCGGGAATAAATGATGGGCCCCCCGCAGTCCCCTTTCTCCCTCCCTTCCCCTTGCCGCGGGCCAACCCCTATGATTTGTTGCGCCGCGCCTCGTCGCGGCGAAAAAAACCCATCGATTTGCGCGCGGCCGCAAAAACGTGAGACGTCCGCCGCCGACGCGGCTTAGAGCGGCTTTTAATAACGTGTATCGCAAGCAGCGCCGGGGATTCCCCGAACGCACCGCGCCAATTTCTGTTTAACCCTCTTGTCTCCTCGAGCTCTTCCGGAAAGAAACCGCCCGCGAGAGTCTGAAAAAGCTGCGACGCGCGAGCGTATCGCGCGTGTCCGGTCTTTCTATTTTCTTAGTGAGCGTTGTTGCGTTCTTTTAGCGAACAGAACTGCGTGCGATCGATCGAATGTTGGCCGCTTCGACATCTTCTTAGGTAAAAAGTAACTTAAATCTTGCAATGCAGCCGCGGTTAAATAACGCTCGTTTCAACGAACGGATGCGAGATGACACTCGCGACCGATCCGCAGAATAAAACTCGAACATTTTCCTCTTGCTTTAACGATCGGTAAATAACGTCGGCATAATTCCGAGTATTTTCGCAGGGATGGTCAGTAAATAACATCAGCAAATAACGTCAAACTTTAGGCGAAGAGAGGACGATTGAAAAGGTCACGTTGGCTTGACGATGATTTGCTGATTATTAGAGTGACAGAGGAAAATGTACTCAGATTGTTTTCTCTCTCTCTCTCTCTCTCTCTCTCTCTCTCTCTCTCGATCGATCGATCGATCGATCGATCGACCGCTCGTGTCACGTTTGTGGTTATCTTTGGCTCTGTTGTGCGTCTTGCAGGCTGGATTTCGGCTGGAATTTCGCATTCTTTCGCTTCTGACGTCATCGATCCGCGATCCGCGATCCGCGAATAGCCGGAAACCTCAAGCGCGGCTTTAAGACGCGTCTTTTATCCTTTTTTATTTTTATTTCCTCTTCACTTTTTATCGAGCTCTCTCCCCCGCGCGACGGTATTAAATCATGCGGATTTCTTTGATTCATGACGACTAGCAGTGCCGTCGAAATACAATCGAGAACGTCCCATCGACGTGACATCGAGACTGCGAGGAGTCCAATAATCTGGACGACAAAAAAAGGCAATGGCGCGGAGTCTCGAATATTCCGTCGGCGTGGCGGAGGGAACCCGAGATTTATCGTCGTTATTAAAACAAGCGCGGTGATACACGAGCGATCTCTGGTCGAGCGAACGTGGACATTATTCAAAAGGAACAAAAGAAGTCTAGATTAATCGGTAATTAAATCGACGGCGCGGGATACCGCGGTCTACTGATACGCACGCGCTGCCGCACGACTTGCCCGCTTCTCTCCCGATTTTATCGGCTCGATTCGCCGCTTGATGTATTTGATTATCGGCTGTCGCTCGCTTTTAATAAAACATCTCGCTTTACATCTCATGAGCGGTAATCCAACGCCAGCTCGCGCTGGATCGTCATTATAAATCTCGCGAAGCGAGCCCGAAGTCTCGGGAAAGTCGTCATAAGCGCGCGATGCGCGCGAAGGAATGGCCGCGCGTAAAAGTCAAATTGATTGATGCCGCTCGAGGACAGTCGGAGCGCAAACGGCACTCAGGTTTGCGCATTTTGTACCTTTAGTGTTCCGCCGTTATTCGCTCATGAGAGTAGAAGAGGCACAAATAAACATTTCTCTCTCTCTCTCTCTCTCTCTCTCTCTCTCTCCCTCTCCCTCTCCCTCTCTCCCTCTCTCTCTCTCTCTCTCTCTCTCTCTCTCTCTCTCTCTCTCTCTCTCTCTCCCTCTCTCTCAGAAACACGTAACTTGCGAAACCGCAATTGCCATTTTTAATTTTACGATAATCCAAGCTACTCGCTGGTACCCACCGACTGTCGCTCTCTCCACCTTTCATTTTTGCGCTGAAGACGGCAAGAATCGACCGAGCTTCATTCTCGGTCTCGTCACCTGCGAATTCGACCGAAAGGCGACCGGTTTAACGCATGCACCGCCCGCGGCAACAATCTCGGCCAGTGCTAAGATTCTTCCGCTCCGCGAATGTCGGCAGTGAGAGCTAATTCACGAATTCGCACATATCGCTAAATATTTATTTTATTAGGGAGGTAAATTTCATGCTTCCAGAATGGCGGGAGGGGGGGAGGGGGACGGGAAAGCATACAGACACGGCGCGCAATTTAATTTAATAACAGCACATAATTAATTATACAACGTTACATTAGGCAATCAATTACCGTGCAACTCGGACGTCTCAACGCATATCCGGAATGTTACGTCAAAAACGGCAAATCGCTCTTCATCGCGTCCGAGGGTCGGAAAAATCGTATCAACGTTCCCGCGAGCGCGCACGCGCGCTCCTCCAGCGGAATTTCTCGCTGAGCTCCGATAAACCAAGAGAAACGACGGCCGGTATCGCGCGCGACCGGCCATAATAATCTCATTTAAATCTCGACCGGACTTTCCGCGGAAGGCCGAGGGCGGACATCCGCGCGAGCCGCGGAAAGGGGAGGACCTCCGCCCTTTTCCTTCCCCCCTCTCTCTCTCTCCCTCTCTCTCGGCGTAATGCGCCGCGGAGGGAAAGGTGGATGGCGGTCGGTCGGTTTGGCAATAACATTAGAGCGAGAGGGGCCTGCCATGCGGCACAAAACACGTTATACGGTGTGTTGCAGCGGGGGTGGTGTATCATGGCATTTGGTCGCACGCCAGTGTGCCTGAATATACCTCCAGGATGGTCCAAAATAGAACTGGCTTTGAGGTCGCGAAAGAGGAAGAAGCGGAAAAGATGACGGCGTCGGCGGCGCGGCGACCGGGAGAGCGAGAAGGAGGGGGAAAGCGACACGAGGAAGAGGACG